TAATAATAACGTACCAGCTGTACGCCGTAACGGCGTTTCGCTGCCGCGCGACCGCCGGCAGTCGCGCGCGGGCTGAGTATACCGCGAGGATGCACACTCCTACGCGGATCCGAACCGGGGACTTTATGGTTGCAAACCACTCGGCCACCGGCCGACGCCAGTTTTGTGTCCGAAACTAGGAGCAATGACCCACAGGAGGTTGTTGAATCAAATGCGCCCGGTTCGCCCTCTAGCTATTGGTTGTACGTATCCGGATACGCTTATGCAGCAACCACTGATCAAGCTGGAGTGGGCATTGTTCTCAGCTTCAAGGCTGTCATCGTTCGTTGATTAGATTCCTGTGAACAGTGGTTTGTGTGTAGTCCGTTTGAAGACATCAAGTGAGGTTGATTCTCGAAGTAATACAAAACGCTGTTTGTTTGTAGTTTTCACTTACGTCCCGTTGATGGTAGTTCTGATGGAGCCAAGGACGCATTTTATTACGAACTGAACACGCTGCTTCGCAGTGTTGCCAGTTCAGATATCGTTGCAGGTGATATGAATGCGCAAGTAGGTCGCCTGAGCTCCTCCGGAGTTCAGCTAGGTGGTGAATGTGTAATTAACGCCCAGCGTACGGATATCAATGAGCGTCTGTTGCAACAGCGCACGGAGCACCAGGTGTTTCTTAGTAGTACTGCTTTTAGACACAGCGGGCTGCGAAGTGTCACTTCGCGTTCGTCGATAGCTGCCTAGCAATGGACCAAATGGATCGAATTTCTACAGGTTACAGATAGTGTTGTTCCACATCGGAATGCCGCTCGGTCTGGAATACCTGCGTAGACTTTGATCATGCCTTGTTAAGATAACGTCTTTCCATGAACTTTATCGTGAAACGAAGCAAACGCCTTTCTCGATTGGCAAATGAGCAGTTGACACAACCCTAAGTCAGGCTCGTGGCCTTAAGAAACACAAGCCTGTCTTGTAATCTGGAGGCCGCAGGTTCGAGCCTGCGTAGAGGATCGGGCGACCCTCGCAGGACCCTTAACTCATGCGCCACTAATGATGGTTGCGCGGCAGCGAAGCGTCGGTACTGCATGACGGCGTACTGCGGATACCGTATGGCTCGTTGGGCATAGCATTTTCGAGAGCAGTTCCGTTGGTCTCCTGCTCTTATTAGTCAGATGGAGCAGGTTGAGGTATGGACGATTAGATCAGGGACCGAGCTCCGAAAAGCATTCACAGCCCTTAAACGGTTTCGTGCCGCTGGCCCGGATTACCTCGCATCTGCACTAATTAATGATCGTGGTGAGGTCCTCCGCAAAACACTGAAGTCCCTGTTAGAACATGACTGGAAAGAAGAGTTAACTGGAGTGAATCGATTATAGTGACAATATACAAGGGCTGTCGCACCAACTGTGCTAACCACAGAGGTATTAGCCTAACGCCAATAGTGACAAAATTATTTGCACCAAACATCGTTCGTCGCCTCACTGCGGAACCAGAAACCAGAGTAGGGGACAGAAAGTAGGTTTCCGCCCAGGACGGAATTAGAGCAGCGCCATTTGCAACGCAGATTGATAACAGCTGTCATTCAGTTCCAGGAGTGCGTTAGACTGTCAATAGTTGTCTTGCCGATGCCGTCTTATCATTACAAGATAACCAGCTGTTTGTGACAGTACGTTGTTGACACAAGGTGTAGGCGCCTTGACCTCGAATGTTTGATTAGGGCACTAAAGTTTTATGCTAGATCTCTCATCTCTCCCAGGCGAAATTCTTCTTTCCTGAGGTCACCGTGGTTGTACGGTGGGGAAGCATCAGCCCAAATGGTTGATGATATTACACAAGACTGAGAGAGACAAAGAGGAACAAGGGATTCGTGAGCACACTTATGAAGAGAGTGATGTATGCGTGATTTAAAACAAACAACGGAAGGAAAACTCGGTGCGACTACATAGAACTGCACATACCATCGTGTAACGTACAGGGGCCAGAAGATATCAGGACAGGGAAATAGTGAATTAAGCAGAAGCCGTATGATTCAAAGACAGAAGTGGGGTTTCTAACCACACAAACGGGAAATCCGTACCGGCGCTTCGCTACCGTGCAACCACTAGCGATTTTATGTGGGCTGAGACCCTTCCAGGTTGCTCGCATCTATAACTTTAAGACAGCAAGAACGAACAACATTCCAGCGGGATAATCTGAATTCAGAGTAGTTTGGGTCTTCTCAATCAGCCGCCTACAGACAAACAGTGGAAGGGATAAAGAAATGAAAATGAAAATGGACCAATGTGGAATTAATAGGACACTGAGAAATTCCAGGTCACTGCCTGTAAGGACAAGAAATGCGCCCTAGCAGGGCAAGGCGAGGCTACCCACAAAGTAGAGCTGCGTGCAGAAGTTTGGCTTTATTTGATGGATGGCGGAAACTTCAGCAAATCGAAACAGACTCGGAGTATGCTGCTTATTGATAACCTTGAATGCGTTACGAGGGTCGTCGTACAAGGTGCAATCAAGCAGACGCTGGGTAATCCAGCTGGCAGGAAGCCTAGGGTCACTCACTGCTAAGTTCTGTGAAACGTGTCCCATGATCCTAGCCACCCCATAGTTCGGTCAATATACGTGCTACCACAAGTAAAGGTAAATTGGTAACCTGAGAGTTAGGCCTATGCAAGTTAGATTCATGGAGCAGTTTCTTGGTCTGAGATAACAACACGAGTTCATCTGCGTAGTAGCACAACTTTATGGCATGGCATAGTCGGTGGCAAGTTCTGTTGTTCTGTTCACGTTTGTATGGTAGCGTAATGTAGACCTTTTCCTTGGGGAGATCCACTCGCTGTTCACTTTCAGCATTCTCTTCCACATATCTGGCGATAAATTTGTTGGGATTACAGACATTTGATTCATTTCGCACCGGCCAGGCGCACACAGGAGGGTAACAGAACAATGACGGAACACTAAGCGAACGATGCATCGGCAGAAGATGACCGATTATTATCGAATTGGGACAAGTGAGCTGATGCAAAAAACACGGAAGATGGAGACACTGTTGTGTTGCAGAGATCAACATCGAAACTATTTTAGTTTGGATGCAATCCCAGTGAAGGTTAGCATCCAGCTTTATTTCAAAGTGAACCATGACTCCAATCGTGTTAGCGTATTGCAATTGAAACACACAGTAGGTATACTAAAACCCTACAATGAACTTCTAACCGCTGTGCCAAGCAGTGCTCGTATAGGTTAGCGATAAGGGCGTCGGTAGTTAACCACCATGTCCCGGATTCCACTCCCAACAACGACTACTTCTACCTAAAGAGTCCAGGTAAGAACGAAACTGTGTAGTGCTTGGAGTGAATAACATCGAAAACTATCTATGTTAGATATCGATGCAGTAATCGCAATGACCGAAGTATGCTTAAAGTACATTTTGGTCCAAACAAAAGTGGTGTACTACGAAAACTGACAGTGAAGTTAGAGTGTGACTGGCCCAGAAGCAAACGAGCGGGATGAGACCAATGCTGATAAGTTCGTTGCCGTGGCTTAGAGACAAAGGGGAGAGGAGTAGATACGGGTCGCGGAAGAATGCAATGCAGGGGTGCACAGAATATGTGGTACTGCAGATCGTGAGATTACGATTGCAATCCCAGTACACTGCGAAACACGAGCGGGCCAGTATCAGTTTTGTGTGGAAAAGGTCCCCAACCAGGTAACAATGTTTCATCATCGTTTGGCAGTGGTGTGTGCACCGTGAGAAATAGAATCATCTGAACTCAATGAAGTCATGTATGTTAACACTGACCGCAAAGAGAGGCCATATGCACATACTGGTTGCCTGCGTCAGACCACCCCAATCGCTGAGTTCTTCTCTGGTCAGCATGCTTAGAATAATCATACACACACACACCGCTGTGAGCACCGCAACTGCGTTGGCTACTTGCTGTGGGCTGTGAGCAGATAACCCAAGTTGTTGGATGAACGAGTTGTTGGCGAGAAGACAATTCGATGTCTGTTAATAATCAAGTATATCGTTCCGCTCTAGCAACATCGGTCCCAGCTGGATCGCATCGCCACCGCTTACCAACGTCGATAGAGATTGGTAACTGAACCGCGAGCATGCAGCTACTGGTTAGAACCAGTGCCGCGAGACGGCAGAGACACCCAAGTGCCGTAAATGCCTCGATTACGAATCTGGTAGCACTGGAAACGATAAATGTGTAAGCCCTGAAACTGGAATCTGAGTCTAGTAGCAAAATAAGTAGTAGAACACTGCAGTTACTTATGTAGGCTACAAAGTGGTGGTACCCATCGATTCCGGGGGGAAATGAAGTCATAATGAGCATCCTTGTTAACTGAACAGATTCAGCGTGGACATTGTGAAACACTGACGTGGCATTCTAGATTCGTAGTTAGTTGTTAGAAAGGTTAGTGAAATCAAAAGGAGCATTTGCTAATCAACCAGTATTTATAAGGGATGGGGACAGAAAAATAGAAAATAACGATTGGTTGGAGAGACCAGTTTGAAGCACAGGTCGTGTGGATGGATCATGACGCGCAATTTCGATCAGGACCGCAATTCACTTTAAAGTGAGCCTCGATCAATTTGGTCCTTTGGACCGTAGCTAGGGCATGTGTTACTTCCACACAACAGTGAATTCTGCAACGTGTGCTCCAAAACCTGACCCACTCCAACCAGTTATTAACCGTTGAGACAAACGTTGCCCGCCGCGACGCGGTGAGTTAGAAATCTCAGTCGACAACTCAAAGATCTCGAATTCGAGTCGTATTACTGCTATCTCTCTCTGATGAGCACAAATGGACATGAAACCAATCGTGGGCAATGAGTAATGTTTATGTGCTTCAGAAAAATACAATGTGTCACCGATTCATCAGACACGCTCGAAGGCCAATCGGTAGACTGAAGGAATAGACCCATAACAAGTTACAGTACCATCAGAAGCCTCAGTGTGTGCATGAAGCAGGTAAAAGCATCCAAGATTAACAGATTAGGAATGAAAGCCCACCTTCTGTGAATCAATCTTGGCATCCATACGTGCGTTCCGGATGAGGTGAACAATCCACTTCTCCGCATCGTCCACATTCATGTTCAACTTCTCTGCTAACATGCTACAAGGACAAGCGAAATAAAACAAACGGAAAGGATGGAAAAACTATGCAATTCGCACAGTGGATTGGAATGAAAGCAGACGAAGGAACAGAGGGAATCTATGTCGGGAATGGTGAAAAAAAGTCTTGCCCTATCGGTGATTATCTGTGCCTCTGTTTGTGCTAGATGTGCTGAGTTGCACGCCTCCTACTGGCAACCAGCAGGTAGAAAGTGAGCTAGGTGTATCTGGTGAGCACTGACCCAATGTAGCCGTGAGCGTCTGGTGGCATGGTGAATCAAATATGGAACATACAGATTGGCCATAGATGCGGGATGGATCTCAGGCCGGCGCACGCCGAATTGTGTACATTGTTCTGGAAACCTGTGTGATGCGCGACCATTGAAATCTATCTGAAAGTCATTGCTAGTATGGCGAATGCCAAGCAGTGATCGCAGTTGGAGCAAGTATTCACCGCGTCCTCACGCGACGAAAGCGTGGTTGATGGAAGCGTTACCCACTGGTACCATCCACAAAAACAAAAAGCAAATGATGAACGGAGTGAAAGTGAACACTGAGAGTGGTTCGGTGTATCCACTAACAGTAGTGTACCAGTATAAGGGAACAATTGAGCATTGGATCCTATGCTGTAATTGGAGAAGATGCAGCTAGTCGATTCAAGGGCTGTGTTGTTATCTTGGGATGGAAGCTGGGAAAAGCAAGGTGGATAAAATCCTTCTCTGAATGCCCATAGCACAATATGCTTTAATAACCCATGGCTACACCGTATGGATAAGACGTACGGATAGTGAAAAGCAATCTTGATATGACCAACACATATTCAAATGATAATAAACAAATATGGTGCAAGTACCGAATAGGGTTGGTGAAAAACCGTCGGAATGGCTTGAAAGATAGCCATAACAGTAACCGAAGATTTCGTTAGTATCCGGACCATGGAAGAACGCGGCAGTTGTTCTTCCATCGTCGAAACAGCAGGCAGTGGTAAGGATGCAAAGTCAAAGAGAGGTAAATGTACAGCAAACTACAGCTGGTCTATGCGATGCATTTCGCTGATCGTGCACAGAGACCAGCGGTTGCTGAAACAGAGGCCGAACTATGTTACCGCCGCATAAGAGTAAGAGGGGTTCCGACAAGTACCGAGATATTAAACTGCGGAACAACGTTAGGAAGAGGGAATGCCTGCATCTTGTGTAATCATCATCAGCAAGATTCGTACGCGGCAGAGGAACAATGCGATAACCATACAGATCTAGCAAAATTCACATACGACATACAAGGTTGTGAGCTAAGATAATCATATCTATCGAATTTGGCGCAGGGATCATAACACGAACCCGAAGGCAATGTGCCGTTCAGGTATCATACAACTGGTGAACTACCGGCCATCCATCGTTTCCGAAAACAAGCTTAGTCGTTTGAGACAGTCATCTATACCCCGATAATTGCGGATCGGTGCGTGACTTTTGTACATCAGAAGCATGCTGGCTGAAGTACGACAAAAAAGTTGAAAATCGATTAAGATCAGAACTCTGAGGTTCCAAATACTAATCAAGCGATCTTGGCATAAGTCATCTCAGTTATATAGAAGAAATAGAAATACCCCACCGCCGTGTCACTCACTCGATTCCAACACTGTGGTGAATACGGCAGAAGGATTCGAACATCAACAATCTGGCATTTTCTATGAATTCCTCATAACAACCAGTGAGGAAGAAATCATTCGGCAATACCTAAGGAGTAAAGGGAAAAATATAAAACGGAATGGCACGCATAGAATGTGTTGCAGTGGAAAGACAAAACGCAAACAGAAGAATCCTACTTGTCACGATAGGCCATAATGGACACATATCGGGGTAAAGTGATCGGAGTAAAAGGAAATTTCTGATGAGTAGTTTAACTGCGAACAGATATGGGTGAGATTAATTGGAGAGATTCAAGTCAAGAAACCTTATCATGTTAATGTAGAATAGCTCACAAGAAGTACAAAACATGAACACTGGCTTGTAAGTCCCAAGAAGAAGGCGACGAGTAGGCTACACTGCAGTGGTCGTTACCTAGTCGAGTGATGTGGCAGCAGGTAAGAATAATCGTTGTCTAAAAGTGTGGTAAACAGGTGTTTCATCCACGCAGCAGAACTAGGATACTTGTCACAGCACGCAAAAAAGCACCGAGTGGTGGATAAGGAGAGGTCGGGTGAACTCAAACCCAAGGGGGTTGGAATAGTGTATCAAAGCCGCTTATTGCGGACAACATGCAGTGTGCATAGATTCCTTAGACTTCCGGTAGAAACAATAAAAGCAAACGTAAGAGAACCCTGCCAGGAATGAAGCGGTGTATCAGACTAAAAAGAGTATCAAGGGAAAAGTTAAACAGGTAATACACTTCCAAAAAATAAGAAGTGAAGCTTAAGGTTGTAAACAAAAAACATTCACAATAAGAACAACACGTTCAGTAGGTGAAGAAATTGCCGCAAATAATGCGATTAAAAACGTTTGTTTTAGTTGGCTGGCGGCATGCGGTTAAGGATTTGCCTATCACAGTGGCCTCCACGGAGACAGCCACAAGACGCCTGCACCTACAGAGGGACCATGGGTGGCTTGCGCTGCACCACCCACAGCTCCAACCACACATCTCATGTCCAGTGCAAACCCGAAGGAATAAGACCGGGAAACATGCGGATGGGAACCACGTTTCATCAACGGAGCCGGCCCACACTCCTTCACAGGCAAACACAAGCACGCTGTATTTGGGGAATCAACCGCACACAAGGCGGTGGCTGGACCGTTGTCCGCTCCACACTGAGTGCACAGAACCACCCTTCTAGCTGAGAACGGCCAGAAAGACTGTGCACCCCGTACCCTTCAGCAACGACCAACTGTCTCCTAGAGCCAGTATAGACGAGGTAGTGGGTAATAGACAGGTAGGCACCTTGACAACATGCACATCAAGCGTAGCCACATCGGGGATATCAAGCAACAGCCAATCACTAAAATGACAATATCAAATAAAATAGGTTGAAAACTATATGGATCCGGCGACAAAACTCTTTGCTAAACTAGCATATGAAATAAATGGGTTATCAACAAATCCGGGACAAATCCAAGACGGCAAAACAATAGATCAAAACATGCAACAAACGTAAAGAAATAAACAAAGTTGATCTCTACCTGATGAGCCTAAACCAAGACGAAACCGTCGGTCGTGGAGTGCAGAGATAGGAGAGAGCCACACCGAAACCCTCCACTTCGGTGACAGTCCCAGTGACCGTATTGGCAGAGGCTGACTACAAAGTCAACCGACGCCACTAGTGAGATTGCATGTCGCAATCCAAGACACACGGCGGGTGCTCCAAAAAACCCGAAAATCAAAGTTAATCAACTTTTTTAGGCGACATGTATAATAGATTATGCAGGTAGACATTAAAATGAGTTAACAAAGTAAGTATTAATAAAATATAGCAAACCGATCACCTTAAATAAACTCAGCACGCAAGCACGCGATTAGTAGAGCGAGTGGAAGCGCAAGCAGCGTACCAACTAACGCCGCACCGGTTCTGCTTACGTTCTCAGCAGGACCTATCGACGTTTCGATTCTGGTACCCAGTGGCGTTTCTCATGGCTCACTAGACCTGCCTGACTCGAGCACTCGCGACCATATGTGCCTCAGCACCATGAGCTCGACGCCAATGGAGTGTACTCCAGTCGGTTCATCCACCAGCTGGCCATTTAGGTGACCGGGCCCCATGTTTACATGGGGCAGAGGTGACGTTACCCACCCGGTAGAAAGTACAGCCGGCACCAACTTCATTCAACCTACCGTGCTCAGCAAGCCAGGTCTCGCTGAGCAACGCAATATCGATGTTGTAGCGCGCCAGTTCCATCGCAAACAGTGCAGTGCGTCGTTTGGGGCGCTCACGCGATTTCCGGTCCAGTAGTGTGCGCAAGTTCCAGCACCCCATGGAGCGCTACGCGCGCAGGCATAGGATTACATTGGTGGGCGATCGCACGCGTGCTGGTGAGTGTACTTCGGAAGATTGTTTGAGTGACCCCAACCGGAGCCTTTGGCTCAATAGCCTGACCCACAAGACAGTGAATGAGATGGAGGTTTGCGTGAGGGACGCCATCCGGAGTCTTTGACTCAATAGCTTGACGCAAAACGCAGTGGGGAGCAAATGCAGCACGGAAGTGGGATTGCAGAGATCCATTGGGATCTGCTTGAGGTCCGTCACACAGCTTTTGAAGATTTAGAATTATTCATGTGTTTGCGAACATAGAAAGATACGCACTTGAGACCACGGCCAGAAGCAATAGGGTTTTGGCAGGTTTGTACCAATTTGAGAAGGGGCGGTAGCAAAACAATGAGCATCCGGAGGTACACTCCCACCGTCAGAAACAATGTGTGCCGCTCGTACTCTAAGCCAATCGAGCTGTGAGCTTATAACTCGTGGGACTGTTGTCCCCCAAGGCTAGGTTTTAAGGGAAGGAGGCCAAGGAGTACTTCCTAATCTCAGAGGATGACGGGGTTTCGACTAGGATGCTAGCAGGGCGCCCACACCTAGCAGAACGACTTGAGTCCTCAGCCCAAGCGTCCGATTAAATGTACTTCCGAAAAGAAGCAGGTCTAACACAGTCCGTCTACCGAGTCACGCGGAGTAGTGTACCGGCTCTAAGCGAGAAGAAGGGCGTAACCCAACTACCACCAAGGGATCGCCACGAGGAAGTGTCTAGCACATGAGCCCACGGCACAACATTAACAGCGGTGAATCGACGATCGGTCAGGATCTAGGCACCACAACACTCAGCGCACCATGGGCTCTCCCGATGTTTTTACAATTACCTATGAATATATATATATATATATATGTATATATATATATATATACGTGCCCCATGCTGAGGCTGATGTTGCATTCTTGATGCTTCTTCACCGCAGTTGGGCTAAACCAACTTACACCTAAACTAGGTCTTTTTAAGCTGGCTAAATTTCATTCCGCTTTATTTGGTTTATTCTGCCTCCCTGAATAATGTTCTATTAACTGGCCACGTTGCATACACTAAGTGTGCTTATCTTCGGTAATTTTGTTGCATTTTTGAGCAACGTGTGGACATTTCTTACTTATCACGGATTTGTTGTTAATGCAGTTACTTCATATGGTGAATTAGCGAAGAGTTATGCCACCGTATCTGTATGCATTGTTGGATTTATTTTATTTCATCTTGTCGTTTAAAGTGAATGGCTGTTGTTTGATATCCCCGGTGTGGTTTCGCTTGATGTGTATGTTGACAAGGTGCCTACCTGTCTATTACCCACTACATCGTCCATACTGGCTCCAGGAGACAGTTGGTCGTTGCTGGAGGGGACGGGGTGCACGGTTCTTGTGGCCGTGCTAGGCTCAAAGAGCGGTTCCATGCACTCAGTGTGGAGCGGACTGCGGTCCAGCCACCACCTTGTGTGCGGTTGATTCCCCAAATACAGCGTGCTTGTGTTTGCCTGTAAAGGAGTGTGGGCCGGCTCCGTTGATGAAACGTGGTTCCCATCCGCATGCCTCCCGGTCTTATTCCTTCGGGTTTACACTGGATATGGGGTGTGTGGTTGGAGCTGTGGGTGGTGCAGCGCAAGCCATCCATGGTCCCTCTGTAGGCGCAGGCGTCCTGTGGCTTGCCACAGTGACAGGCAAATCCGAAACCGGATGCCGCCAACCATATATATATACACCAGGCGTTAGAGTCCATTGTACGCCGAAGCATGTGGCGGCTACATCCGAACAAATCGGTGATCCTATGCACTGTAGAGCCGCCCATGCCTATATTCTCTGCGCCGCCAACCCAGCTGAAACAAAACAGAGACCTGCTACACTGAAGTGTATTAGGGGCAGGGCATGATTAACTTTATAGGTCACATGCACTCACTTTCGACTGTGCGTTACTTGGCTGATTAACGTCACTTGTCTAGACTGGTTCAAGCTTGGTAGGGGCCTACACTATCTGGCTGTAGTCACGAGCACGTCCGTGCTATAGTAACCCGTGCGACGATAACGAGCTGGGTGAGTCAGCTGTCCGCGAGATCTGCTGTACACCAAGCGCATGTCACAAAACTGTCGCTACGTTCATCCGTTGCGGCAGCCTACTAACTCCCCTTTCCAATCCAGTCGGCTTGCATACTGTTCGAACTCGACATTGTGCACAGGTTTTCGCCTTGGAGTCAACTTGCAACCACTGTGGTCGGCTCCGTTTTCGGGTCGGCTTGCATTGTGCGTCATCTGGTGCTTGCAACTTTGGTCGTGATCCATGTAGCCACTCACCTTCGTCTTTCAAATCAAACATGTCTAGCAGGATGTCCCAAGGTAGGGATGGTGTTCTGGGGGACTTGGAGCTTTGCCGTAACTCGGCCTTAGCCGATTGGCGTGCCTGACCCATTTCTCATTTCCTACCATTAGTTCGTAGATGACTCGATCACTTCTGCCGATCACAGTTCCTGTCGACCACATCATCGGTCCTTGGAAGCCTTGCGCGTACACCATGTCACCAATTTTGAAATGCGGGAGCCTGTCTACCGGATATTTCTCCTCATTACAAGTGCAGTGCTCTTTTTTGCGTTCGGCACAGGGCGCCTTGATCTGTATAGTGGTTTAGCGCCTTTCTTAGGTTTCATGGCAGCACTGGTC